TCACTTTAAGTAATTTGACCCTTAGAATGATTCTTATTATGCTAATGGTTGGCGGTTGGTATTTTATATTAAAAAATCCCAATACAAAATTTAAGCAGATCCCTGGTATTGTAATTTTTATATCTGACCTAATAGTTTTGTTGAACTCTATAATCCTATAATTTAAAAACTTTATTTTGATATTACTATTAAACAATTATATGAAAGTGCTATTCAAATCCACAAACCTTAAAGCAAGTCTAATACTGTTGTTTCCAATTTCTGTCTCTATTTGTAAGACTTGCTGATCAAATACATATAACATGCACACATGAGTAACTGTGACACAACGCCCCAGTATTTTGCATGCCCCAATATTTTAAGAAAAGTAGTTTTAGGTGGCTGAGAAATGAGTGTTGACATTTGGTGATTTTGGCTGTGAACTCTGAATGCAATTTAACATGAACGAGGAGCTTTTCCTTGTATCTTTTTTCCCTCAAACCTGAAGTGCTCCAAAAGTGTATTTTTGCAACCCCGTGAGCCTTGTTTTCTGCCATTATGGCACTCTTGCACTCCAGCTGCTGTTCCCTCCTGCCACCCTGGCTGGCCTCCCTCTTAGCCCAGTAATGTCAAAATGAGACTTCCTGGTCCTTTTGGGAAAATGACAAAGGCCTTCAAGCAAGGGACCAATGGTAAGATGAACTTGGGAGTCAGAACTTTACTAAGATGACAATATGTGTAAGCCAGATAGTTTCCATTTTTAAGGAAGACGTTTGGGTTTACCTCTCTATGCTTGCCTGTAATAATGTCTATAATAAAGCATATTAAAAATCAGTGAAATGAAACAGACATCCAAGCAACTTTTAAAAATAAAAATATATATTATATACCTATTTCTCCACAGCCTACTGGAAAATATACTTTACAATCAATCTACCAAATTAGCATCAGCTTAGATGAGATGTCAGGCCCGCTGCGTTTTTAAAGGTTAGGATCAGTCCCAAATTGGACTGAGTCACAGCACTGACAGACTATACTTAGCCTCTTGTCCCCCCAAACTGCTACATCTCCAAAGAGTCTAATGTTACTCATTAGTCTGAAAGAATTAATGGGAGAATTGTGCATGAATCACCTACCATTATATTTAGCTGTATGCTTAGAAGAGCAAGATGATTATTAATTACAAATACTGTACTGTATACCTCCCATTTAAATGAAAGCTTTATTCCATAAGGTTCCCCACAAATACTTGTAAGAAAGAAAGACTGGGTGTTTTTGTACTGCTCTGCAAATATATCTCAGAAAAGAAAAATACAATGTAGTTCAAGGAAACCCCTTGACAAAGATATACTGCTACTCCATGCCTAATCTATTCCATCAAGTGAGGGCCAAAGTTGACATTACTTCAATAGCATGTTTTAATACAGCATTTGGCAGGCACAGCTGACTGCAGTCCAGATCAAGATCATGTCCTAAAGGAGGAAAAGTTAACTCTTTCCCCTGCTGAAAATCCCCTCTAGGTTATTGCAGAGCAGATATTTTTAAGTATGTCATTAAAAAATGGCTTGATGCAGTAATTCCTCCTCATAACAATTTACTAATGTTACTGAAACTAAAATTATTTTTTTGTAGGCAGGACTCCTGTATATTAATATATCTAAAGTATATTAGAGATATTATACTTCATATTATTACATTCTATTCAGTGAAATATACATTATATTCTAGCAAAGAAACCCACAAGCTGAGCTCAGCTTCTTATCCACAGTACCTAATGGGAAAAAAACTTTACCTATGGAGTTTCGGTCAAACTGCTAAAGCCTTACTAGAATAAAGCTGGCAACTCCAATATTAAAATGAATGGTTTCATATATCACAGTGTTGAAACTGAGGCTCAGTGGCTGGCGGCATTTCTTTGAAGTGTATATTGTGAAGCAGGTGGTGATTTGCAGTCTCACAATTTCTGTGATATGTCAAAGCATTCACACTGTCTCTCTCTCTCACACACACAGACAATCCCCTTCACTTGTGTCTCATGTAAATTACTCTCAAGAAAGGACCACTGATTGGGTTCATCTCATTGTATAAAAACTCTTCTGATGTATATTGTCTTCCTCTTTTCAGAAACCTGCAAACATATGTTCACTTTTTCTCTTTCTTTCTCTGTTCCCTTGGTGAAAATGGGGTTAGAATAGATATAAAGTGCTGAGAAATAAAACATTATAAAAATATTTTATTATTCTGAAAGCAGAGGTTTCTTCTGAACAATCAGGGATGGTTTGAATTTTTCCACTGAGCACAGAGATAGACTCAGTGCTCCAAATGACACCTCCCAATTCTACAGTTATATACAAACCTGCTTCATACATGCCACAGCTGTCTTTATGGATAAACTCTGAGTAGAAAGAAAATGTATATATGGTATGAACACCATCATGCATGAGTATCTTACCTCTTCCCATGGGCCACTGTTTCTGCTATTTGCCCTGAATGCAAGCCTATTCATGAATATTCATGATAGAATCAAGATTACTGTCTTTTTTTATTGTATTAGTGACACCATACTGCACATTATGGAGTGAATGTGTCCATAAATATGGATGCTGCCAAACAAGATTTTTGTTAAGGCACCAGTCTGGAAACCAGTAGACTGTAAGTTCTAGTCCTGCCTTAGGCACAAAGTTAGCTGTGTGACCTCTGGCCAGTCACTCTGTCTGAACCCTAGGAAGCAGGCAATGGCAAACCACTTCCAAAATCTTGCCAAGAAAACTGCACTTGTCCAGGCAGTCGCCAGGAATCAAAACTGACTGGAAGGGAGGCAGGGAGGAAGAGAGGCAGGGAGGGAGAATATCTTTGTCTTTCATTTGTAATTTTGCCATGTTTTGCCATCTCTTGCTATGTTTTGATAAATAAGCTGCCCAATACACTTTGAACACTAGAGTAAGCATGCTGCAAGCACTCTGAGACTAAAATGTTATATGTATTTCCTTGGCCCCATTTACAGAATCTAAGGTAATGTGGATATATCCAGAGGTTGTGATAGTTCACCCTCTCATTTTTTTTCCTTTTCTTCTTTTTAGTTTTTTCCACACACATACAGGTTCATAAAGAGGGAAAGAGAAAAAATAGCTGCATAAATGCCTTTAGAAGCTGTTCCTCTGGAAGCACTCCTTGTCACCAAGACAGTTTTCCAGATAAGGCATTTATCCCCAGGAAAGAATTTACTTTCACTTGTAAGTCAATCTCCATTTCCCATTGTTCTTCAATATTTTTTCTTCCCAGGAAAAAGTGGCTGGCCCCTTCCTCATTCATAGAACAGAATACTGTGAGGGCTGCTGCTGCTGGGCCTAGACAGCATCATCTTTCACCTGCAACCTTCTACTACTGTTCCAGCTTTTTCATTACCCCAAAAATCTGTTCAGCAAGAAAAGTCTAGACCAGTGTTTCTCAACCTTGGGCACTTGAAGGTGTGTGGAATTCTGGCTGGGGAATTCTGGGAATTGAAGTCCA